CCTCTCAGACAGGGAAAAGGCTGTGAACAAGTGAGCCTGCCTCTACCACCATCCACTACCTCCCCAGCAGGACTAAAGGCCCCCAGGGCACTCTGAGCATTCTAGGCCTCACTGGTGACATGGATCATAGTTACCAGCACTCCAATCCAGGGACCCTCTGACCTCCTTGGTTTCCGTGTTAGGGACCCCACTCCCGCCAGGGTCCAGAAGACCCCGTCCCCCTGCTCACTGAGGCCCCAGTGCCCTCTAACCAGCTCTCTGCCTGGCACTTGCAGGGCCCTAGAACTGTCCCTGGAGCTCAGCCGAGTCTCTCTGGAGCGGGACTCCCTCTCCCGGGAGTTGCTTCGCACCATCCGCCAGAAGGTGGCGCTGACGCAAGAGCTGGAGGCCTGGCAGGTAAAGGACGAGGCCTGAGGGGCGGGGTCTGTGTGCTGACCTGCTTCTTTTTTTTTTTTTTTTAGTGTTCATAAAAATTTTAATGAAATACAATTTCATCTCCTTTTGTACCTCTTTGCAAATGTAATACAAGGCAGAGTTTTATAATCTTTTAATAACTTGTGTAATATCTGTGGTATTGGAGTATCTCAAAGGTGGAATTCTTTTAAATTATAAAGGATTTTGAGTGCTTGAAATAATTTTCACTCATTGGAGTAGCTTTAGTTGCAAAACTACCCTTCTGGAAGGAGGTTTTTTGGAAAAGTAGCCTTTCCTCTGAGCATAGCACACACCAAGTCCACAAACAGAAAGCACGAAGGCCACAGCTACCACAGTCGCTATGATGCCACTTAGGTCGAGATCATCTACTTGCATACACTTCCCAGGGCACCTGTGATATCCAACAGAATTATGGGCTTCGCAGTAATACTCTGGCTGTCCAGTTCTGAAACAGTGTTAAATTGTTGCTATTCATAGTTTTATCCTTTTGGAAAATTTCAGGAAGGAAGGAGGGAGGGAGGAAAAGAGGGAGGGAGGTAGAAATACAAAAAAGACAGTAAAGAAGACTGAAAAGAAGGTAGAAAGGCAAAAAGATAAGGAAGACAGAAAGCCGCTGACCTGCTTCTTTTGCCCTGCTGACCTTTCACCCTGCTGACCTCCCACCCACAGGATGACATGCAAGTGGTGATAGGGCAGCAACTACGCTCCCAACGCCAGAAGGAGCTGAGCGTGGCTGGGTCCTCTCCGAGTCGTCCAGCGTCCCGCTTCTCGCTGCGCCGGGGCCCTGGGCCTGCTGGTGGCTTCTTCAGCAACCTCTTCCGAAAAACCTGAGGGCCATCGAAGGGACCTGCCCTTGCCTTCTCTGGCTCACTTTCCTCTTCTGGCCAATGGAGTGACAGGGCCCGATTGTCTTCCAAAGAGAACTGGTACCCTCCCAAGCCAGGGAGGCTGGGCAGGGGCTCATTGAGAGCAGGCCCCAGCTTTGAGGGTCAGGGGCCCCAGGTCGGTGGTGGGGGCAGGTGGGGCAGAGCTATCTATTTTTTTGAATCTACATAGGTCTTTTATTTTTTTTTTTTTATCCTCACCCTAGGACATTTTTCCATTTTTTGTTCAGAGAGAGTGGGAGGGAGAGAGAGGAAGAGAGAGAAACATCAACATGAAAGGGATACATTGAATGGCCACCTCCCGCACAACCCAACCAGGGCCAGGGACAAACTACAACTGAGGTACATGCCCTTAGTAGGAACCGAACCCAGGTCTCTCTGGACCGCAGGCCAACGCTCTAACCGCTGAGCCAAACCGGCCAAGGCTCTACATAGGTCTTTTCTAAGCACTAGGGCACTAGACCCCCCAGGCCCCGTCATACTCTGGGAAGGGGTGGGGGTGGTTATTTATGTATCAAGATCAGAGTAATATATAAATCATTACACGGACTTAGTCTCCATTCTTGGGGGAAAAAAAGCGCATGGCAGAAAAGCCTGAAATTTTATTTGTAAAAAGAAAACAGTCCAGACCTCTGGAATTGGGGGGCGGGGGTTGTGGGAGGTCAGAAGGACAGGGAGAAGGCGCGGTAGCCCAGATTGGTGAATACATCCACCCGGCAGCTGTTGCCTGCAGCTGTCAGCACCTGGAGGCAAGAGAGGGGTGAATGACCTACCCACACCCCTGGCCTCCCAGGGCCCCCACAGCTCCTTGCAGGACCCACCTTGCACTCAGGTGCTGATGGCTGCTGGTTGAGACTGAGGCTAAGCAGTCCTGGGGAGGAGCCAGGCACCTGGGCCTTAAGCTCCCCACTCAGCTGCCACTGGTTGACACAGGGGCCCTGGCCAGCTGACAGAATCTGTAGAGAGCAGGGACAGGATTTAAGAGTTGGGGCTGGAGAAGGGAACCAGGCAAGGGTAGCAAAATCAAGACAGAGAGCCTCACCAGGTCCTGGTAGAAGGTGACATGCTTCTGTGGTGCCCACATGGGGAAGATAGTGGTGGGTGTGGAGGATCGGAGGTGCCAGAGGGTGAGTGCTGGGCCCCCTCCACAGACCTGGGCAGAAAGTTGGGGGTCCCCAGCTGCCATAAGCCATGGGCCCTCAGCTGGTAAGGCCCAAAGCTTCCACCCCATCTTGCACTTTGCCTGACTCACCATCCAGTCTGAGTCAGTTGCCAAACATCCGATCCAGCGCCCATTATGGGGCCTCGAGCACTCCTGGGAGGGAGGAGGGAAAGAGAAAAGGATGTGAAGATGCAGGAGATGTCCAGGGATAAGGAGGTCAGGGTGTGGGGCATGCCCTCACCTCATGCTTGTAGACCTCAATTGTCTGGACCTCCTTGGCCATGCGCAGGTCTGTGGGGGAAGAACCATGATAGGTACACTACTCACCCCAGCCTCCTTCGCCACCATCTTTCTCTCCTACCGGACACTCCCTTACCCCAAAGCCGCACAGCGCCATCTTCGCCACCTGACAGCACCTCGGGGTTCCGATCCCTCAGTGCCAGGCAATGGATGTAGTCTGTGTGGCCCCGGAGAGCCCGCTGCAGGGAGAAGGCAGTGTCAAAATGAGATCCAGAAAGAATGCCTACCCCTGCTGTCCAGCTCCAGGGCCCTCTCACCGTGAAGGTCCCTGTCTCTAGGTCCATCGTATGCAACTGACAATCTCCGCCTGCCAAAATGAGGGAATTCTCCTGCAGAGGAAGGCAGGGTGGGGTCAGAAGTCGATGTCAAATTAGGACAGGGACTGGGGAAGGATTAGGTTGGGCCCAAAACAGGGCAGGATAGAGTCCTGGTCACAAAGGGCTCAGACCTTGGGGACGAGAAGCAAAGCATTGATCTCAGGCACTTCCAGGCTGGTTCTGGGGGAGGGAAAGCAGGGTCAGCTCTTGTGAGGCAGCACTTGCACCCCCACGTGCCCTCTGCCCATGTGGCCCTGGCTTACCTATATGGGGGCTGACGACACCATAGCTCTTTACAGCCCTTCGTGGAAGAAAACACTGAGTGACCTCAAAGGCTCTTTCTGGGGCTGGGCACCCCAGCACCCTGCCCCTCAGCTCCACACTCCTTACCTTCTTGAGGATCTCTGCCCAAAGCCAGGCCTTCACCTCCCCGTCCCCAGCACTGAACAGATGTCGATCAGTGGAGACCATACTGTAGACAGGCCCATCATGGGCTAAATGGAAATGCAGAACCTTAGTGACCCTGTCCTACTCCCTTCGTCCACCCTAGGGTTCCCTAAGCCAAGCTCAATGGCTGCACCCACCTTGGAAGGTCACTATAGGCTTCTTACTTTCCTCTTTGGCCTCCGAGCTCAAAGCAGCAGACAAGCTGCAGAGAAAGGGGAGAGGGTGTCTGAGTCAGAAGTAGGGGGCATCAATCCTGGAAAGTCCAAATGCCAGAGCCAATGGGTGTTGGGGAGCAGAGGCAAAGGTACCTGAAGATGGCTATTTGCCCACAATTGTTGCCCGATGCCAGGAACTTCCCGCAGGGTGAAAAACTCTGGGAGAAAATGGTCATGTGCAGCCGCTGCAGGGCCTGAAACACTTCCATCTGTGGGAAGAGGCTGGATGAAAGCTGTCTGGGAACTCCGATCCACAGACTCCTTCCTGGTTCACCTGTCACCAGTTCAGCCACTGCCCATACTTCTCAGACCTCCTTTGAGGCCCACCAAGCAAGCACCTGCCCATACAGTCCCATGGGTAGCTCCAAGAAGAGGGTGAGGAAGGAAGGGGAGAGTTGATGAGAGATGCCTTAGTGTGCCTAGTAGGACCTTGAGCAAGCACCCAGCCTCTTCTCCAAGTTTCCTAACTGTTAAATGGAGCACACAGGAGATTCCGTCACGATTGTTATGAGCTGTTGTATATAAAGAGCTTCGCACTGGGCTGCCTCATTGAAAGAGCATAAAAAGTGGCTCTATTGCTCCAATAAAAACATACTACTCTCAATCCCTACCCTCCGATTTTCATGTTACGTCCACGAGGTTTTTCGGGGTTACTTTTTCGCCCGTGGGTCAGAGTCTGAGTCCTACCAACAGCCCACGCAAACAGGGTTCAGGGCAGGACTCCTAGCCCGCCCCTCCTTAGCCGGACATAGACTACAAACCCCAGAAGGCACCGCGCACCACGCCCGCCTCACCTGACCCAGAGGCGCGGTGTGCGGCACAGCTCGCTCCATCTCGAGAACTACACGTCCCAGAGTGCTCCGCGCGCGACGCAGCCTCACGAGTCCAGACGTGCGCCTGAGTGGCTCACTTTCGCTGCGTCCCACCGGTCCACTACCGCCAGGCTCGGCCGGAAGGCGGTCGGCGTGTAACACCAGAGCCCCAGGAGCTGAGGTGAACGCCGTGAAGGCCCACCCCCGCCCCTACCCCCGACACTAAGTGGCTCCCAGCGCAGCCCCGCTACGCAGGACCCTAACCCCGCCGAGCTGACCCGCCTTCTAGCGGCGTGCCACCCGTCTTCCGCGCTGCGCGGGATCTCGCTGCTGCGCGCGCCTAAAGCCACACCTCTCGCGTGTGGCCACGCCTTCGGAGCTCCGCCCCTGTCGCCCGGATCCCACCCCTCTGCCCGCAGGACCCTGAACCCCAATGATCCTACAGCAGCCTCCGGAGCGAGACCCCCCGAGTCGGGCCCAGCGCGACCCGCGGGCTGCCTCGGGGGCTCCTCGAGGCCTGGACGCGAGGTGTGTGGGGGGACCCAGGGTGGGCCTAGCAAAGGGGCACAGGAGCTTTGGTTGGAGGCTCAGGGCTTGTCTGCAGGATGACACATGGTGGGGTAAATCAGCAGGACTTGGGTATGAACTGAGACAGGTTTGGAGACTTCCAACTCAGGCCCCCGGATGCCCCAAAAGAGTGAGGGTGACTTAGGCATCAGTTGAGAGATACGGGCTAGGGGGTTCCTGGCTGACACTCCAGGCTCAGGCTGGCAGATTTTGGGGATGAGGCCAAGAGGGTGGGGTGCACTGGCTCTCTTTTTTTCTCAGCTCCCCTCTCCGAGGAGCTTTGCCCATGAGCACCAAGCGGCGCCTGGAGGAGGAGCAGTGAGTTTGGGGGCAGGGAGGGACTCCCAACAAGACTTCTGTCATCTCAGGTCCCCATCAGCCTGCCTCCCCTCTAAATATCCCAGCGTGCCTCCCTACTGGTCTCTCCCCAGGGAGCCCCTGTGCAAGCAGTTCCTGTCTGAGGAGAATATGGCCACCCACTTCTCTCAACTCAGCCTGCATAATGACCACCCTTACTGCAGCACCCCCCTGACTTTCTCCCCAGCTTTGCCCCCACTCAGGTAGGCACCAGCCACTATTCACTGACTGCTCTTCTGGAGGATCACACACAGTCCTGGGAGCCAACCTCCAGGCCCTGCCTCATCATGCTATTTTTAACTTCTAGCCAACCTCTGTTTTTTCTCCTCTTGGCTCCTTAGAAGGTGAAGGCAGTTCAGGAACCCCTAGGGACCTGAACCTGGTGGGAGGTGGCTCTGCCAGGCCAGCCTCAGCCCTATGCCTTGACTGTCATTTCCTCTTCCAGGAGCCCTTGCTCTCAGCTGCTTCTCTGGCGATACCCTGGAAACCTGATCCCTGAAGCGCTGAGGCTGCTGAGGCTGGGGGACACCCCTGCCTCCCACTACCCTGCAACACCAGCTGGGGAAATAATGGAGCTCTGAGTGCTGGTGGGCGGCATACCTGCTCACCCTCTTTCTCCCCCCACAACAGGGGAGACCAACACCCCATGAAGGGACTATCTGCCCTGCTTTTCCTCCAGACCAGGCCTTTGAGCACCAAGACCTTCCCCTAACAGAGGAGGACACAGCCTGGGGTAGGAAGCACAGTAGCAATGGAAAGGGAGGCATTTTCCTGTATCCCCCAGAAAAACTGAATAAAGATTGCTGAACAGATGATGCTGAACAGATGACAGTCTGGAACCTGGGGCCTCTGGGAAGAGAGGGCAGGGCTGGGGCACTAGATTCTAGGGTTTCTCTTCAAGATCTTCCCTGGAAAACGGTCAGGGCTGGCCAGGTCCTGGCAGGCTAGGCTCAGGCATTGAGAATGTGTGAGTCAGAGCCTCACCCCCGCCCCCGCGGCTGACTCACTCCTCCCTCCAGCTCTGGGAAGTCAGACTGGGGAATCATGCCACTCTCCAATCCATTTAAAGTTAAAGATTCTTTTATTAATAAATTCTCCCGCCCCTCAAAACTTTCTACCCAAAATAAATATCTCCCCCCCTTTGAGGGTTGGTGGGGGCAGTGTCTCAGGGCCAGCCCTCCTAGAGGGCCAGCCCCCTAGTGTTAGGAACAGGTCCCTAAACCGCCAGGCTGAGACCCCAGTGCTGGAATTTAGCATATCTGAGTGGGTGGGACCTGGTGTTCTGTCTGTCCCTCACTTTATCTTCACCCCTCAGCCATGGGGATAGAGGACCCTTGTGCAAATGTTGCAGTTCCTAGTGTCAGTCATCTGGTATGAGCCAGCTTGGGTCTCCTTTTCTGTCCTGGAGCCAGAGACAGGGCAGTCAGATACTTTGGAAGGCTCCTCTGAAGCCTGGATCCAGGCCTCAGAGAAGTGATTCACCTGTCCCCCATCCCTGCACATCCCTGTGACAGGGACAGCCTGGCTCTGGCTGTGTCTGGGAGGCAGGGGCTGGCTCCAGAATGAATGAATGAAGAGTGGGCACGGCCTCCAGCTGACCAGGGACGCTCATTGTCACTGGATCAGCGCCACTCCAGGACAGCCCTCCCCGCCGGTCTCCTCAATGGGGGCTGCAAGACAAGAAAAGGGGGTCATCAAGAGCTGGGGAGATGTTGAAAAGTGATGGGTTCGGGTGGGCCAGAGCACACTTACTGGTAAACTTCTCTCTCCTGCGGCATCGCCTCCAGACCAGGAAGCCGGAAAGCAGCCCCAGCACAAGGGCCAGGCTCAGGGCGCCCCCCAAGATGGGCCACAGCAGCCCAAAGGAGGCTGAAGGGGCCCCAGCGCCTGTGGGCAGAACTCAAAATCAGACCTCACCCCTCTCTGGATCAGCCCCGCCTCCTAAATCCAAACCTCATCTTTCCCCTTCTGTCCTCCCCACCCCCACCCCCGATCTGAGCCCCTTACCCACTTGCCTCCCATGTTAATTCCCCAGATCTGAAGCCACCTGCTCCCCTCTCTACCCCAGCAACTCCCACATTCTGGGGTCCACTCGCCTCTGGCCCCACCCCCCAACTCACAGCCTGGGCAGAAGTCACTATGCGGTCGCGCTGGACACGACGCGCAGTCCATGCACTTGTCGAGGTCCGTGCTCCAGGAGCTGCCGCGAGAGCAGGGAGTGGTGCCTAGGGAAGGGGGTCAGAGGCTGGGGGCGGGGCACAGCTATTCTGGGGGCTGAGGTCAGGGTCCGCCAGCTCGTATAACGTGAGTCACTGGTGCCCTCCTCCCCCATTCCTCACAGGTGACCGCAGGGCCCGACGGGGATACAGTGGGGGGAAGGGGGCATAGCGCGGGAGGCTGGGGGGGGTCAGGTCCCCACAACACCAACACCCCCCCCACCCCCCCACCCCCGCCACCGCCGCCACCGCCGCCGACTAGTGATTCATTCCTGGGCACCGGGCCCGACCCCGGTCCCTCCCCCCCCTCTCCCCCCCGCATAGCTAGGCACTGAAGTCACCGGATGGAAGGGGCACCCCGCATGGTATGGGGGACACAGACCCCCGTGCCTCTCGATACCCCACCCGGACTCCGGTCACTGGGGCTGGGCAGATCCGGTATTGAACAGGCTGGGGGGCCTGCCCCCTCGCTGGACCAGACATCCGCTATCAAACTTTCTCCACTCACGAATCCAAGTTAAACAGGCGGGAAACTGAGGCTGGGACCGGGATGAAGCTCAGAGCGAGACGGGACCTCCCCTGGCCAGGGAGCGCGGTGTCTGGAAACTACCTGACCTGCGATTCCATGAACCCTCAGTTCTGCCCCCTCCTCTAGACTCCAGAGCCGGCTCCCGGATCACCGGCCCGGGGTTCCCTGGCGCTCACGCCCTCCCGTCCAGCCCCAGTCTGGCGCCCGGCGTACCTGACACTGGTTCCCCGGCCGCGGCGCACAGCAGGGCCAGCCCGAGTCCCAGCACAAGCAGCCGCAGCAGAGGGCGCAGCAGAGGGCTAAGGGCCATAGTGCGCCTCCCGCGTCCCCGGCGGTCTGAGACCGCCGCCAGTCGCCGGGACAGACGACCTCAACCGGGTCCCCGCCCCCGCCTTCCGGGGCGGACCCTTTGCCTCGGCCGGCCCAGCGGCCTGCCCCGGGACACCCCGCCCCGCCCGGCCCGCTAAATTCGGTCATTAGCTCTGCAAATGCAGAGACCTTGCAGGGACGCAGACTTGGCTGCCCTCTCGGTGCTCAGGTCCGGGAAGTGTCTGTGTGTCCGGGGGGGATCAGACACAAACCGCCCATCGCAGCTTTCTTAAGGACACCGGAGGTATAATTAAAACATAAAAATAATGATAATGTGTCCTTTCATTTCTACCTTAGTACATAGGTACGTAGTTGTTGTCACCATTTTGCAGAGTATGAAACTGAGGCTCGGGAAGGTGATGGAGCTGAAACCAAAGTTCCATTTGGCTCCACGCTCTGCGCCCTGACTCACTGCGGACCCCGACGTCAGCCGTTGATGTCCCCTCACCGAGCCAGATGCGGGCCCAGCAGCCCCAGTCTAAAGCGCCCAAGATTGAAGAGATTGGGATTCGCGCGCTCTCAGAGGTCCGGACTGGGGTCTCTGCCCCTCCCCGGGGCGGTGGTCCAGTGACGTCACTGCCTCTTTAAGACCCTACCTCCGCCCCATCCCCACACTCGCGGCTCCTACGAATCTCTGCGGAGTCCTTCCTTCTCAGGTGAGCCTGGGGGCAGTGTGCGTGTTGGGGAGAAAGAGGTGGATGCCTCGAGAAACGGAGTGTTTGTTGGGAGCCAGCAGCCTGGAGAACCTGGACTGATCTGGCGAGTCCCCGGCGTGGGGCAGATCAGGTCCTTCTGCGGCTCCAAAAGAGCTAAACTCCACTCCTCACCTCCCTTGGGACAAAGGCACCGAAACCCGGGTGCCCCTCCCCCACCTGCGCTGCTCTCTGAGTTGGTGGCCCCTCCCCCTCACCTGCGGGAGCAGACCCTAGGCGGGCGCCGCCATTAACTCTACCCCGCGCGCGGCTCCCAGGCTGGTGGGGGACCGAGGACACCCACCTTCGTTCTATTCTGAAGGGAAATAGGGATCGGAACGGGAAGGGGCGCTCTTGGACCCAGTCGAGCTCGTAGTGTGTGGAAAGGGAATGGGGTCGAGGTCAGGAGAAAAGCGCAAAGTGCCTAGGCTGGGGTGGCCCCGGCTTTAACTCGCCAGACGCCAGGAGTGGTAGATGGCACTGGGACAAAAGAGGTCTGGCCCACCCCTTCCGATCTCCCCGAGGTCTTCAGCTCAGGCCCAGCTGGTGCAAATGAAAAGTGAGTGGAGAGCTCTGGCCGGTTTGGCTCAGCGGTTGGAGCTTCGGCCTGGGGACCAATGAGTCCTGGTTCCATTCCGGTCAAGGGCACAAACCTCGGTTGTGATTGTCCCTGGTCTGGTGGGTCGGGTGGGGCAGGAGGCAAACAGTCAATGTGTCTCTCACACTGATGTTTCTCTCTCTGTCTCTCCCTTCCTCCCACTCTGTCTGAAGATAAATAGAAAAATATCCTGGGGTGAGGAATTAAAAAAAAAAGAAAAGAAAAGAAAAGGGCACCTACCTCAGTTGCGGTTCTGGGGGACCCTGGTCAAGGTCGTGCCAGAGGAAGCCAGTCGATGTCTCACATTGATGTTTCTCTCCCTCTCCCTCTCCCTCTCTCTGAAGATAATGGAAAAATATCCTCGGGTGAGGATTAAAAAAAATAAAAGGAAAAGTGAGTGGAGAGTCTGCCCTCTGGTCACACTGCTGGGCTGGTGACAGGTTTAGGTCCAAGCCCTTGCACAGAACCTTTGGGCAATGGAGAGCCACAACAGGAACCTGATCAGAACTGATCCCAGTGAAGACCTCCAATGGGAAGTGGGATGTGAGAGGAGGCTGCTGTAGAGCAGTTAGTTCACTGGATCGACCCCAAGGATTTTAGATCCTTTTAGGGAAGTTGTGGCCTGAGAGGATGGCATTTTGGGCAAGAATACACAAGGAAAATGTTTCCGACCTTGGGGGTATGCTCTGTGTGGCCCCAAAGGGAGGGCAGAAGAGTGGGACCCAGGGAGGCAACCAGTGGCCTTAGGGAAGGAAGTGCTTCTCTCCTGCCCCTCCAGGGATTGGATGGGGTTGGGCTGGGGCAGGCCAGGTGGAGATTGGTAGGCCACCCAGAAAACAAGATCTTTAAGATCAAACTGGTAACCACCTGCCTGAGGTAAGGAACCATGTTGGGGTGAGGGGTTTGGACACTCCTATTGGGTGGTAGAAGGAAGCTTTGATCTCTAATCTTGATGGTTTTGAGATTGAAATTCAATAGCTGGAGTCAATCTTCCTTCTGTGCCCCTGTGAAAAACACCTGTAAACTTCTGGCACTTCATCCCCTTTTTGTCCTTTTGCTGTTTGATAAAATGTACCTATAGTGGCTGAGGCCAGGGACTAGCACTTCCTTAGGCTTTCTATTATCTTTCATTTGTACTCAAAACAACCAGGACCAGGTGGCTTACTTATTCACTATGGTAAGCCAGTGACTATGACATAACTAGAGAAAAAGAAGTAAGTGCTAAAGCATTAATGCTCATTTTGCCCATGAGAAAATGAGGCCCCGGGAATAGACATGGCATCCCAACTCCCAGGATTTATACTCCTGGTGTTCTGTGTGGCCAAGGCACATGGCATGGGGGTTAGCATTCATTGGGAATGAGGGATCTGGGCCAGCTGGTCTTAGTATTACTCTGTTCTGTCCCTCAGTGCAACTCCTTTCAACTTCAGCCTCGCCATGGCCTCTGCTGGTTTGCAAATCCTGGGGATTGTCCTGACACTGCTTGGCTGGGTGAATGCTCTGGTGTCCTGCGCCCTGCCCCTGTGGAAGGTGACCGCCTTCATCGGCAACAGCATTGTGGTGGCCCAGGTGGTATGGGAGGGGCTGTGGATGTCCTGCGTGGTGCAGAGCACAGGCCAGATGCAGTGCAAGGTGTATGACTCAATGCTGGCGCTGCCCCAGGACCTGCAGGCTGCCCGAGCCCTCTGCATCATCACCCTCCTCATCGCCCTGGTGGGTCTGCTGACCTACCTAGGTGGGGCCAAGTGTACCACCTGTGTGGAGGACAAGGACTCCAAGGCCCGTCTGGTGCTCACCTCTGGGATCATCTTTGTCATCTCAGGGATCCTGACCCTGATCCCCATCTGCTGGACGGCCCATGGCATCATCCAGGACTTCTACAACCCCCTGGTGGCAGAGGCCCAAAAGCGGGAGCTGGGGGCCTCCCTCTACCTGGGCTGGGCGGCTTCTGGCCTTTTGTTGCTGGGTGGGGGGCTCCTGTGCTACACCTGCCCCTCTGGGAGGTCCCGGGGCTCCAGCCATTACCTGGCCCGATACTCAGCATCTGCCCCACGTGCCAACTCTCAGGGGCCCTCTGAATACCCCACCAAGAATTATGTCTGATGTGGGTAGGAGAGTGTGGGGGCTCCCTTGACCCTGGAGCCCACTGTCTGAGCTGGAGTCATCAGGATGCATAACAACTTCTGGGTTGCTTTTATCTTGGTTTTCCTTTTTATTGGGTGAGGGGGTATTTTTTTAATACATTTGATAAACACTGAACCAAGAAGAAACTCAGTCTCCTACCTGGACTCTGCTGCTGGCATTTCTCACCTTTGGATGATGAAACCAAGGAGGCAACGCTTCAGAGTTTCTGGATCCTTCTCCACCTTCGACATCCCCATCTCAGAGGCCAGCCTGGAGCTGTGGCCCCTGGGTGAAGGCTGCTTGCTGGCCAGGTGCTTTGTGATAACCCGATGCTTTGATGGTCTGTCCCCAAGAGCTCCTGCTGCTGTTGGGGCAGGGACAAGCCCCGCCTTGCTCGCCAGGCCTCTGGAACCCCAGGGGCTCTTGAGCCTCAAGTAGCCTTAAGAAGAGCAGGTAATAAGTTACCAGAAACCTTACCTCCAAAGATTCTGACCTCTGGCTCTTCCATCCTTGTCCCAGAGTTGCTTCCCAGCCATACCGTAGATCCCTGGCCCTTTCACCTCTAGGCCCTGCACAACTCTATCATGCCACACCCCCAATCACCAGTTTTTACTAAATAAAGTGTGTTTCTTTTGTTACTTGCCATTGGTGTTGCTGAGAGGCTGCCGAGTTCCAGCCTAGTGTGAGGTGGACCCGAGCCACTAGCCTCCTTTGTTGCTCACCTACCTAGCACTGCCTGAGTGAGGGCACCCACAGGGCAGAACCTGGAGCAGACCTTAACCAGGCAGCCCTGGGGATGTCACCTGGTCTTCCCTGCCAATTACAAATCAAGGCAGCCAGAGATACAAATGCTCTTTATTCCAGAAATTCAAGGGGGTAGGGGTGGGGGGCAGGGGATAGGCTCGGCCCTTCAGGCTTGGAGGAGACTGGCTTCTCCCAGAGGGCCTGGCCTGGGTCTCTGAATGTTAGTGGTGGCTAGGCTGGAGGGGACTAGCTCCAGGGCAAGCAGAGTATAATCCTCTCCTTGTTTGAGGCAAGAACAACTGCCCTTTGGGTGAGGCCCAAGTTCCAGGGGCAGAGGAGCCTCCAGAAGGGAGGAGGGCGGACCTAGGTCCTGAAAGCAAAAGAAAGCAACTGGTTGGGGAAGGTGGGGACCCCATTGAGGAGGGTCTGGGCTCATCCAGGCCATCTGAGACGAGCCCAGCAGCCAGGCCTGGCTGGAGCTCCTGGAGAGTAGGTTTTGCCTGGGGAAGGGGTTAAAGGGCATCCAGTACAAAGTCAAGGCTCAGCAGCGGGCTTCTGGAGACCCTCCACCTCACACATAGTCCCTTTTGTCCATCCCAGAGGTGCCCGAGCGGGAGGGGATGGAGTAGCCCAGCCTGGGTCCTCGAGGCCGGTCCATCTGGGGTGGGGGGCATGTGCAGCAGAGGAGGCCCCCACCCAGCATGAGCAGTGCAGCTGCTGCCCAGCCCAGGTAAAGGGAAGCCCCCAGCTCCCGCTTGAGGGCTTCAGCCACCAGGGGGTTGTAGAAGTCCTGGATGATGCCGTGGGCCGTCCAGCAGATGGGAATAAGAACCAGGATGCCTGAGAGGAGGAGGATGACCCCCGCAGTAAGCACAATTCGGGCTTTTGCACCTTCATCCTCCACGCAGGTGGTGCACTGGGCACCAGTAATGGCCACCAGCAGGCCCAGCAAGGCAAGCAGGAGGGCGACGACACAGAGGGCTCGGGCAGCCTGCAGGTCCTGGGGCAGCGCCAGCATCGAGTCGTACACCTTGCACTGCAACTGGCCTGTGCTCTGCACCACGCAGGACATCCACAGCCCCTCCCACATCACCTGGGCCACCACAATGCTGTTGCCGATGAAGGCGGTCACCTTCCACAGGGGTAGAGCACACGACACCAGGGTCCCCAGCCAGCCCAGTACAGCCAGGGTCATGCCTAGGAGTTCTAGTCCAGTTGAAGCCATCTGCCCCCTCAGTTGGGTCTTCTCAACCCTTGGTGGCCTGGTTAGCTGGAGTGGGTCAGACGCTGCCAAACGGGTCTTGGTGCCGTCCAGGAATGGACAGCCAGTGTCCTCAGGCCAGGACAGTCCTCACATTTGTGAGCCTCTTGCAAGGCACCTTCTCGCTCTGTGCTCCTCACAAGTGTGTCTCCGGCCCCGACAAACAAAATCTCACAGTCCTGCGCAGTTGAGTGGATGGTGTCCCCTTGAGGCTCCTGTCGCCCATCAGTCACCTAGTGGCTGTCTCTCCTGCCACCCTGCAGTCGTGTTGCCGCTGCCTGTCTGACCAGCTACACAGAACCTACCCTCCAACCCACCTTCAGGCTGCGGAGAGCCTCCGCTGGCTGGCGCAGGTTCACGCTGAGCAGTGCACCCTTGCCTGGTGCCACCTGGGGACTGCTGGCTCCTGGCTGCAGCCTTGGGGGTTTTAAGGCCAAGGCTGGGGAGGAGCAGCCAGGCCAAGACTGGAGAGGCCAGTGCTATGGGGAGGAGGCGGGGCTTGGAGGGAAGAGGTGGGGGCTCAGAGTGGAGGGGGTGGGGGAGAGAGCATAAGGTGACCAGAAAGGAACAGGAAAGAAAAGAAGAATATCCATGCCTGTGGGAACCCAGGGACAAAGGAATAGTGAGCCCTGGCTGGGTAGCTCACTTGGTTAGAATGTCCTCCACATACACCAAGTTTCTGGGTTTGACCCCCAGTTAGGGTACATAGAATCAACCAATGAATGAATAAATAGTGGAACAACAAATCGATGTTTCTCTCCCTTCCTCTCAAAAAAAGAATAGATTGAGGATCAGCTCTGGAGAGGAAATGGGGCTCAAAATGTAACAGTTGACTCAGAACAGAGAAGTGGAGGAGTTAAGGGCCTCAGTCTGCCCTTCTGAGCCTCCTCCACCCCCAGCCCCCCGCCCCCACCGTCCTTGCTCTCCCCAGCCAGTTCATTTTATGACGATACAGACGTACCCCAGCCTTCCCACTATTGTTCACCCCCACCCACCCTGTACCTGCCACTAGGACTCTCCGGAATTTGATCTGTCTCCTGTCTCAGCCCAGTGGCCCTGGCGGCTCCCCAGGGAGGGGCCTCACCCACACGGTTCCTAGGCGACAGGTGCCTGGCGCCTAGCTCAGGTGGCATCGTCCTGGCAACGGCCTAGAAAACCACCCCCCTCACTAGCACCTCATCTCAGGTATGCCTTCTCCGCCCCCTCCACTGAAACTGGGGACCAGACTGCAGGTCTCGAGAGGCCAGGGGAAAAAGAGCCTGTTGTGGACGTGGGGGAGAATTCAGGGCTGGGGTGAAAGGAGAGGAGCAGAGACAGGAGCCCTGGGTGGGGTTGAAGCTCAGGACCCCACTCTTGCCCATGGGGAGTGAGTGACTACTCTGGATGAGACACCACAGAGGAAGGCAACAGGGGTTAGGCCCGGGTAACTCAGGTTTCCCTGAACCCTGCCTCACAGTCCTCAGGAAAGACCCTCTCAAGATCTCAGAGCCCTGGGACTCCCCTTGTGGGGTGCAGCCTGGGAGTCCACAGGCCATCCCAGAATCTAGGACAGATCATGGAAGGTCAAGGTCCTTAACCTCCTCGGGTCAAAGACCCCTTTGAGAAACCTCCTAAGACCCACAAACATGAGCCCCTCATTTGGGGGGAGAGGTCACGAACTCCCTCAAATCCCTCCCTGGATGCTAAGAACTGCAAATGATTGTGTGAAAAGAGAGGGGTTGATGAAAAGTTCACTTTCCAGGATGGTTGGGCAGCCCTGTCTTGTGAGAGCCCCTCACTTCCATGCCTCCTGAGGAAGACCAGAGGCCAGACTGCCCGGGGGGGGGGGGGGTGCTCTTCAACAGGTGTCCAGGAGGGCTGGGAGGACTCTGCACATACCTGGTCACTGCACCACTCTCCACCCTGGGGAGGGGATGGTGCTAGGTGCTTCCTCACCTGCTCAATGGGGCTTTATTTATAAATAATTCTTTTTTTTTTAAATCCTCACCCAAAAATATTTTTACATTTATCTTCAGATACAGTGGGAGGCAGAAAGGGAGAAAGAGAGAGAGAGAGAAACATTGATGAGATAGAGACACATCGACTGGTTGCCACCTGCACAAGCCCAACTGGGGCCAGAGCCAAACCACAACTGAGGTACGTGTTCTTGGCTGGAATTGAACCCAGGACTCTTTGGTTTGCGGGCCGATGCTCTAATCACCGAGCCAAACCGGCCAGAGCTATAAATAATTCTTTTTTTTTTTAATCCTCACCCAAGGACATTTTTCCTTTTTTCTTTTTGTACTGATAGAGTGGGAGGGAGAGAGAGGAAGAGAGAGAGAGAGAGAAACATCGACGTGAAAGGGACACATCGAGTGGCTGCCACCCGCACGACCAACCAGGGCCGGGGACAAACTGCAACCGAGGTACGTGCCCTTAGCGGGAACCAAACCCGGGTCTCTCCGGACCGCAGGCCAACGCTCTAACCGCTGAGCCAAACTGGCCAGGGCCTTTAAAAATTTTTTAAAAATTGATTCTAGAGAGAGGAGGGAGAGAAAGAGAGGGAAAGAAACACTGAGCTGCTGTTCCACCCATTCACGCATTCATTGGCTGACTCCCATATGTGGCCTGAGAATCGAACCCGAAACCCTGACACGTCAGGACAATGCTCCAACCACTGAGACACCCAACCAGAACTATAAATGATTCTAACTTCAGGTTGGTGCATTGCTGGGGGGTGGGGGAGATTTTAGGATATTTTAAGAGAGGTTTATACTCTCATCAGATAGGCAAAGGGTTGGTTGACCCAAAAGAGTTTAAGAACCTCTAAAGTGAGGAGACTGAAGCCAGATCTAGTCAGTGAGTCTGCCAGCAGGCTCCTGTGGCTGGGGCTACCTCTATGCCTGGTCCTGACTGGTGCCTCCACAAAGGACACGAGGCAGTGCTGTCCAGAAAGAGAGGCTGACCCTGGTCACCTAACGACTGGGAGGGGAGTGCTGAGGACAGCAGGCTGTGATGGGCACGCCATCTTGGGGCAGGTTTGTCCATCTCCTCCAGCCACTGAGGCCTCGCACTGTGGGGAGAGGAGGTGGCTGAGAAGCAAGCCTTCAGTGGGCCCCCTCTACGGCTGGTGTCTGCAGGGCTGCCAGGAATCCAGCCCCACAGGTTTGGGCAGGTATTCAGCGGACTTAGCAAGCCAGGGTCTCTGGAAGGGCCCACTGCCCTGCCCACAAGGCCTCCCATCATGGGCAGCCCCGGCCCAGGGCCTTTTGTGGCCCCTAGGCCCAGAGCAAGTCTGTCTCCTGCCTTGGCCATAAGGTGACCAACTCATCTCTATTTGCCTGGGACATTCTGATTTTAAGACAGGCCGGTAAGCCAGGACAAGTGGAATAGGGAAACTGAGACAGATAGCTAAACAAACTGGCAGAGCAGATACAGGCCACCTCCCTAGAAATAACATCTAGATCTCAGTTGTAGTTCAGCTCCAGGCCCAGAAATGTAGCAAAACCAGGTGGGAAACACCAGGACCAGCTGCAGTGACTAATGATCCCCCACCCAACACGCACACTGACCGATCAGTGGAAACCATGACCCTGAAGGAGCACACCTAGAAAACTGATGAATATTCTGCTAAAACCCTCCCCTGAGACCTCCCCGAAGATTCCCCACCTGAAAGAAAGATGTGCTCACTTCGGCAGCACATGTACTAAAATTGGAACGATACAGAGAAGATTAACATGGCCCCTAAAAAATAAAAATAAAATTAATAAAAAAGAAAGTCTCAAGACAAAGGACCCAGTGCGTGCTCTCCCTCTGGAGAGTAGCCTCCCCCATTCTCTTTCCCTTCTTTTTCCCCTCTCTTCTTCCCCCACAGACATGCATCTCCTACGCTCTAAGGGACACCACTAGGCTTGCAACCAGGGCAGCAATGGGCAGTGGTAGTTCATCTCGGGAACCCCCCAACCAGTCCCCAAGACCCCCTTTTCTCTGACTTCTTAGGCCTAGGTTCATTTCCCCAGCCCTTTCTTGTTTCGCTGTCCCCAGCTTTAATACATGTCCTCTAAAATTCACCTGGATTCATGTTGTGAAATTTTTACTGCACGAAGTCAAGAACACACTGCTGGCGGCCCTAGGCAGTTTTTTTGTTAATCCTCACGGGAGGATATTGTTTCCATTGATATTTTCGGAGAGAGTGGAAGGGAGGGAGTGGGGGGCGAGAGAAAGGAGAGAAAAACATTGACCTGAGAGAGCCCTGAGGTGGGGGGCAGGGGATCAAACCTGCAACCCAGGTATGTATCCTTGACTAGGTATCGAACCCATGACCCTTCGAAGGAAGGGCTGAAACTCTAACCACTGAGCACACCTGCCAAGGCCCTTCTCCTGCTAACAGTTTGCGTACTGAGTCCTGTGTCCTGGGGAAAAGGGGACAGTTGGTCAGCATGCAGTCAAGCCTTCCTTCCAGGGCCTGCCAGTTCCACAGGCTGCTCTGTGGCTCTAAACCCCCAACATTGTCACAGGGCCTGGTGCAGTCTGCACTCACCAGGTAATCATAGCACCCCAAGAAGGCACTAAGAGAACCCTAACTTTTTTAGATCTCAGTTCTTGAGCTATCTGTCTCAGTTCTCTACACTCAAGCAGAGGGAGACCCTGCTCGGCTAGGGACTGGCCAGCCACATGGGAGGTGGGTGCTCAGAGGATGAAGACACTGCCCCCTCCCCCCCACCTTCCCACCTCTAGAGACCAATCCCTGCTGGCGGTACCTCCAGGGTGGCCAGACAGCTTCAGCTTCCTCCCTGCTGTCACCCACTCTTCCCCACTTTGATAAGGCACATGCTAGTGGGGAAATTTGTTGGAGAACTAGGAGAAGCCGGAAGGGGGTGGGAGCCGCAGAGGACAGCCGCCTAGGGCACCTGGGCAAGAATGCACTTCCCGCCCTCAGCTCTCCTTGGAAAGAGGCCAGGAGTCTCCAAGCCCTCTCTTAGGTC